GCACAGGACAGACAGAAAGCATCCAGTGATGCTTTCTGGAGCACCGTTGTCAGATGGCCAGTCACTGTGAAGGTGGGAACATCCCCAGCTGACTGGGCAGTACCTAACACTGACCTTGTTTGCTTGCTGATAAGATAGTTCAGGGTTTGTTTTGGACCTAATATTTGCTGACAAAGTTGATAGGCCCTTGTCAGGTTGCATTGGATGTTTGTGAGATTTTAGCTTCATAGAAGGGACCGCTAGGTTATCCCAATGCTTTCTATTGGCTGTGGCATTTCAGTTACTATAGTGACTACAAGGTGGTAGGTCTGGCCAAAGCATCAGTCTGACAACGAAAGAAAGGGAACATATATCACTTCTCCTATAACTTCTTCCACTGGTTAATAGCTATTGCTGCTTGAAAAAAACAACAAAAAAACAAACAAACAAACAAAACCACTCAGCCTTATATCATAAATCTGTGCTCCCAATCTTGTCTAACATCACCAGGCCTGGACTAAATGACTGTATGCCTCATCTCAGCAAGCTTAAGATGCTCCTTCAGCTCGTGACCCCTTGGAATAGATAACAGACCACAACTCTGGCATCCTAAAGGGATGAAACAGGAGATGAACTCTAACAGATCAATAAATTTCCCTTCCTTTTTAACTGGAAGGTCTCTTTCTTGAGCAGTTTTCCTGACTGCATCTCCAGCTGTTTCACTCTGGCAGTGACAAGCACTACATTAGATGAGGAGCCATTTCCCAACGTGTCGGTTCCTAAAGTTAACCTCATCAGAGCAGATATCACTCTGTTTAACTGCTTCATGTGGCATCAGTTAGAGGTTGTTATGCATAAAGTGTTCAAGGCAAAAAAGACAAAGGCTCAGGTGCACAGGACTGGAAGTTCATCTAATACTCTACGCTCTGGGTCTTAGGCTATAGCTTTGCTGGTGAGTGGATGAGAGTTGCAAAGACTAGATTACCTTAGACCAATCTTCCACGTCAGGAGCATTCAGTCTCTAAGATGTAAAAAACCCTTTGCTATCCAATGTCTAAAGCAAGACACATTCAGGACTTTGCAGTGTCAGAAAGAACTACCTTTTGTGGGATGCTCTAGTCAGCATTGCTCCAAGGAATCCAACAAGGTCACATCCCCAGTTGTGAGCAGGAGCAGGACTCTGTTCTTGGCCTGTGACTGCATTGTGTTGAAGCAGTCCTACTCAGAAACAGGAGCAGGAATTTGGGCAGCTGGAAATACTTAACAAGAGTGAGCCATCTAACAAGCTGTAGGCATATCCTACAGCTGGGCAGGGGTATTTTTGACCATAGTCTCAGATTTGGACACATCAGTTCCTTTAAAGACTTCCTGCAAGTAACTATTAGGGTTTGAAGCTGTTTTCTGGCATCATCAGCTGAAAGTATCTGAAAATGACTGCCACAGAGTCATGCAGAGAGTACGTTGTAAAGATCGATGCATGTACTAAAACAACACTTTGAATTAAAAAAAAAAGGCGACAGATCTGCTCATGGAACTAATTCACACAAGAAGTACACTTAACATCAATTTTCCCCAAAATACAAAAACCCTAGGCAAAGCTGTGGTGAAAATTGAGAAACAGCAGCTAAAATTAATGTATTTCCTTGCCTATAAAGCAAAAGCAAGCCCATCTTATGTGTTGATAGGATATCCAAGAAACTGTCTGAACATTTAGGCTAGATGCAAGGAGTGGAAGAAATAGCACTTGGAGTGTTACACTGGGTATACACAGCTACAAACTTTAAGAACCCTTGAGACTCTAAGGAGTTCGCTTTTAGGCAGTAAGTGTGAAGACTAAATCCTATGGGAAATTGTATATAGGAGAGAGACAGTTAGGAAAGGCAAATAAATACATGATGGACATGAAATGGGTAACCATCCTATTGATAAAAGCAAGAAAACAGTAGTTAGTCCCACCTCATCACTCTGCAATTGAACATCACATTTTCAATGTGCCAACTGTGATCTGGCTTGGTGCCCTCTCCTGTCTTCTGGGGAAAAATCATCCCTTCTACCATTTTGCCAGGCAGTTTATTTTGATCTTCACCTTCCCCCACGGATGCTTCCTTGAAAAAAGAAGGTGACAATCACTTAATGAATGGTGACCATGCATCCCACATGCAGTCAGGATTGTCATCATCGCTTTGCACAAGTGAGTTGACTCCTGTCTTGCCAAGACCTAGTTCAGGTCTGAGATTTTCCAGCTCCCTCTTCACTCTAAGTGGTGATTAATGCCATTCAAGATGGCTGGTCTTTGTTCCAGGATAGCAAGCATTTTTCTTGCATGGTAATTGTTAATTCTGCCTGAGTGTGTCAATCTTGGTGTGACTCCCTACCAGCTGCCCAGCAAGACAGAGCCCAGGTACTTCTATGACAGTCTTGTGACTCCATCTCAAAGGTGACTCAAAGTCATTAGCTGCGAGCACGGACACAGTGAGGAGAGTAAGTTGAGGGGAAAAGCTGGAACGAGATGCTGAAGAGAACAGTAACAGAAAAGAGAGATTTCCCAGTGGAAATCACCAGATTGACCCCATGTCGAGCCACTGTGGCTCTAAAGCTATTTGTCACAAGGCCATCTGAGTCATGGACAGTAAGGCCTGGCAAGCAGAGGCAGGGAGCTTCAGCAGCTCCAGCTTTCCCCGTAGAGCAAGTTGGTAACAGACAAGTCCTGATTAAGCAGTTTCTTCACATTTGGGTATCACAGTCCCAGCACATTCTGACTTAAGTATGGCCACTGACTTGGGCTTGAGTAAGTACATTATGGAGAGTGCTACAGAAGAAAGAAGTCAGAAGAGCAGAATTTGAGAGTGAGGAGGAGAAAAATGAACTGAATAGGAAGAAGATCTGAAGACAGAGGTAGTGAGTTCCTCAAAATAGCAATGCTTGCCTTTGATGTTAAATACAAAATCTTGGGAACAAAACGAGATAAAGACTAAACAGATGGTGTGAGGAGGGATTCAAAAGTGAGATGACGCACCAGAGCTTGATCTGAAGAAGTAAATGATGCAGAAATGGACTTAGCATAAGAGACAGCAGGTAATCATCACGGTTTTTTCAGAATAGCCCTTTGCAGTATTTGTAAGCTATAGCATCAGCAGAATATGAGAGCGTTTGACTTATTTTCCTCTCTACAAGAAGAGACTTGTTTTGACAAAGCAGATAAAATGTGTTTTTGTGTGAAGAGTGTATAGATCTTGGTATGTTAAAATATTACTTTAAAAATCTTTCATGCCCAACAGTTACATTCATTTGCTTATCTCTATCGCACTTCCAAAAAAAAAAGTCATACCACAGCTCATGTTGATAAGAACGGGAATGCTACTAAACCTTCATTCTTATCTTTTCACTGAGCACTATAATATTCTTCAGCTGGGAACTTGGCTTTTTCTCCCTCTAGGTTAAAGCTCTAAATCCCAACAGCTCCAGGTTCAACCAACTACATGCTTTTGGGAGTTATGAATTTTTTGGATTGGCCTGTTCTTGTAAGCCAGTTCCCATGGAGGTGGTGAGTCACAGGTTCAGTGTTCGGAGTCTGGATTTGAACTTCCCAGCTTGGATCCATCTCAATTTTTTTTTTTTTCTCCAGGAATATTTACTGCTCAGCACAGAAGTGCCACATTGTCATTTCTTTTCTGTTTTTCTAGTTTTATAATATCTGTGCTGTACCAGTTTCTTCTAGCTGTCACAAAGTCATTATATTTTTATAAAATTCAACTGGTAATTATTTATTCCCTGAAAAAGTGCAGGATTCTGAGCAAGGAAAAAGAAAATACACACAACAATATTGCAAGCTGCATGTAAGGGAAGCGATGTGCCCTGGCATGGGCAGGAGAAGGAGGCAATGCTGCTCTGCCAGCCTCCCACCCAGATTGCCTTCCCCCTGCCCTGCCATCACAGGGTCTGAAATTCAATACTTTGTTTACTTCTGAGGGGTGGAACCCTGAGATAAGGCTGCTTTGCATAAATCACCTTAAAATTTGTCTCTGGTTTCCACCCAGGTGATGTATATTATAATTCGTAAATGCTCCCTACTGCCTGGCCTGCAATTAAACAATTGCTTGGTCCTCTTAAGCACTGCTCAGCTCCCTGTCCCACCAGCTGCTAATGAGCGATCACTCTGCTTTGAGTGCTGCTCCCTGCGAAGGTAAAGGGAAATGCAAAACACCCACTACAATCCCTCAGGGACAGACCTGAGCCCCGGGTTCTCACCCAGCCAAACAGCACAGCATTTTGGTGGGATCCAGCCCATGTGCGGAGTCGAAGGCTTTGACTCCGCATGGTCATGTCGCTGTTTGTTCCTCCACCCACACAAACTAACTGTTTCCATCCCAGCATTTTATCCTGGTTTGTAAATAATAGTCGCTTGTGAAGAAGCGCATTTGCCTCCTACCTGATGGAGGCCGTGTGGGTCCTTAATTTCTGTAATAGCTGATCTATTCCTAAGTGCAAAGGGAGGCCAGGAAATAAAAAGGAAAGGAGGGTATAGTAATATTCCTCCCTCTACCCAGAGTGCCAAAGCCTAAGGCTGTGGGTTGTTTTTCTTCCAACCGTTTGAAAATATTTCCTATAAGCTGTAAATCAAGCTTAATTAAAGCTCTTCCTGTGACTTTCTTCCCCTCTTCTTTAAATTCTCCTCTGCAAGGTGGGGTGAGCAAGCCTAGATAAAAAAATGACACAGCAAGAGTCCTCGAAACACAGCCAGCCCCCCCAGAGCCCTTCCCGTGGGCTAAGCTTTCCAGGCTGGCTGTGGGGTGGGTAACCAGCAGGGAGTAATTGCCTTTGGATGAAAATCACAGTAATTGCTGCTGTTAAAAGCCACTGTTGTTTCCTTCTGTAGTATTTCTGGGAGGACACGAAGAACTGGATGGGGGGGAGGCTTATTAATGAGGCAGAGCAATCAGTATTTTTGTAGGCTTGCTTGTTATACTGCCCATGTCTGCGTAATGTAAATGCAAATAAACCCATCTTTATTTTATTCATAGTTCTAATGGAAAGTCTGTGTCATGGTCTGAACCAGGTGGAAGACAAGCTCCCAAGGGAGAGCACATGTGGCACAGACTCTCAGTGCATGTGAAGAGCCAGGAGACAGGGTGCAATCAGACAGCGGTGATCAAACCCCTCACTAAAAGCTACCACGGCCAAACCAAGAGCCTGACTTTTACCGACATCAGCAGTAAGACTCTCTACAATGTGGTGGAGGAAGAAGACAGAGAGCCCATTCGCCTCAACCAGCCCAGCAGCCCCTCCATGGTGGTGCACAGGCGGGTGGCGACACCCCCCCCGCTGCAGGCCGCAGCGGAGGAGACCCACCTCTTCTTGCCTGAGCAGCCCCCCAAGACCCTGCCCTTGCAGCCGCGGTCTCTCATGGACCAGCTGCAAGGAGTGGTCAACAAATTTGCCACCGGCATCCCCGACTTCAACGCCATCCTGCCCGTGCCTGGGTCAGGGAACGGGGTGCAGCCTTCCTGCCAGCCCCCCCTGCCTCAACAGCCACCCCTGCCGCCTCTCCAGGTGGCCACATTCAGCGAGGAGCCCCTGTCTCCCCCAGCCGAGGAAGCGGAGAGCGAGAAGCTGAAGCTCATTCAGGGATACGTCTATGAAAAGAACCCAGAGGAGGAGGAGGACGAGGAGCCAGCAACCAGCAAGCTCACCCTGGAAGACTCTCCGGCGCTGACGCCCCCATCCCCTTTCCGGGATTCGGTGGCTTCGGTCAGCTCTGTGCCCAGCTCCCCCGTCTCGGAGTCAGTGCTCTGCACCCCCCCCGATGTGACCTATGCCTCTGTCATCCTGAGGGATTATAAGCAAAGCTCGTCTACCCTCTAGACTCTGCAAGAGATGAGACGAGAAGGACTTTGGCAGCTGCCTGCTGGGATGTCCTGAGGAGACAAGTCTCCCAGCACTGGGGGGAGAGAGAGTGGAGAACAAAGTAACATATGACAGGGCAAAAACTTTATCCTGCACTTAAATAAACAAATAAAAAGAAAGAAAAAGAAACAAAAAATTCATTCTGAGGGCTCAAATTCTCTAGCTGTTAAAAATGTTGTACTTTGAGAAAATGATAGGAAACCATAACAAAGCACAAACCCAAGAGACAACTTCTATAGCAAAAAAAAAAAAAGGAATAAACATCCAGGAAAAATAATAATCACACTTACTCACACCCTCTCTTGGCAATGCTTGAAAAGGACTCTGGGAAGTGTGACCTGGAGAAGTCATTAGGACATCTCATGACTGCTGTCTGCTACGGAAGCAAGACACCCAGGAGCTGGAAGGGCAGCATGCGGTGAGGAGGAACAAAGCTTCTTGTATATGAGACATATATGCATAAATATTTTTTCCTGGTTTCTATAAGCAGTATAACTGCGTAATGTATTTGGGGGAGAGGAGCTGAGATAATGTGAAAGCACATGGCTCTTACTGACTTTTGTCTGAACAATTTGTTCTTCATACTAGGCTGCTTTTTGGGGGATCTGGGCTTTTTTTAACACTGATTGTGAACAGAGAGAAAAATATGATTGACTCAAGAGGTTTCTGAAGAAAGCCGTTGCTGTAGTGCTTGTAATATGATAAGGACTTAGAAAAACTGCCCTTTTGTATAAGATTGCAAACCATGTGGCTAAACTGTTACACAACATTTCCTGTAGCAGAACAGTATTTATTGACTAACTTTTCATAATACAACATATTTGCCATGTGATTACGTCATTCCTTTGTGTTTCTTTGGTATCAAATACACTGGAAAATAGCTGTATACTTATAGTAACAACTATTACTCTGAAAGAAAGGCAATTCCATTCTGTGGGTTATAGATTCAGTCTCGAAGTAAGAGAGTGAGTGTACGTTTGTGTTTCTGTATGCGTGTGTACGGTATGTGTGAAGCGTAATGTCCAATAACTGCCACTGGAAGATTGTCTTATATACTATGAATATTTTTATGTTTAAATCATGTTTTATATCGCATTGTTACAAATATTCAGTAGATCTTTGGAGGTTTGTATGCTGTGCTAACACCTTTTTTCATATACAAGCTGAGACAGTCGTTACCCTTATAATAGGGTGCTTTATTTTGCAGATATTTTATGAAGTAGACATATGATATTAATAACCAGTGCATTGCGAATTTGTTATTTTATGTGTCTGCAGCAAGTGTGTTTAAAAAAAAAAAAAGGAAACAAAGAAAAGAAAAACTGTGGTTTAGAAATCTTGCACATGCCGGTATAAGGGTGAGACAGAGAAAGTAATTCAACTATTTTGTTACTTCAGATAATTATAATAAAATCATGTCTGGACAGGAAATTTCATCAGTGTGCATAAATTCCCAGGTTTTGTTACAGATAGTTCTTTTAATCCCGTTATGATGTTTAGCTCTATGTTCTTTCCATACGCTTTCACTTCTTCTCTTTAATACACAATATTCTGTCTGAAAGGTCACTTCTAGGCAGCTGTAGTTCTGTCATTCTTTCCTCCTCCTCTATCCTTCACGTGTTTCCTAGAGATGGGCCTAATCCAAAGCTCCCTAATGGCTGGCATGTTCAAAGTCCAGGTCTAATTGCTGTGGCTTGAACTTAATAATATTTACTATTACCCTATTTATAAACGTGTGTATTATACATATACAGGACAGGATATAGCTGCTATGAACTTTGATTATGCTGTTGAATTTAGCTAAGGATCTGTCCCACAGTTCTACAGTTTATTTCCAAAGATATTTTTAAGGAATCTCTTCATGATAATATAGCAGCAAATTTGATTTTAACCATGCTTCTTGTGAATGATCTATCAGTGTTTTTCTGAATTCAGCATATTTCTACTCTTTCACTTCCTTTTCACTTGAATTTTAAGAAGTCGTGCGGCCAGTCACCAATTTTTCTCTGAAGACCAAAATCTCGTAGTTTTGCTCTAATTATATATGAGTGATATTGGAAGGTTTGGCTGGTGCTCAAAACTGGATAGAGCCTTTTTTCCTCATCTTCTTTTCATGACGTTTGCTCCTTTTAGTATGACTAGTGCCCAATCGCTATCATCGTCCCGATATGGAAAGCACAAAATGACTTTGCCCAAAGACACAGTTAAGCCTTTGTCAGTAGATTGATGTCTCTGTAATGAACTAAAGACACCTGAGGGTCAGTTGGCTGATTTTTGTCTGCTTGGGGCTTTTAGAGGGACTTTTTTGTTGTTGTTTCTTTTTTCTAATGCTGATTACTCATTAAATGAATGAGAAAAATGCCATATTTTCTTTGCTGATCACTGCACTGTCAATGAGTTCTATCTTCTTATAATCTTAGTATAAGATTTGTTATGATGTTTCCAAAAACATATGTTGGCAGTAGCACAGAGCTAGTACGAGGAAGCCAGTTTTTGATGAAATGAGATAGATAATCATAAGAAACAGAACAGCCTTGTATAAATGGGAGATGGTAATGTGGCAAGGTACTATTGTTTTCATATCTGTCTGTTTTGAACACATTAAGCACTGATTTTATTACTGCAATGTAATTAGATCATGAGTAGGAATTTTCTTGAAATTCAGTATATTAGCTTTTAGTTTGTAATTGTTAAAGCTGGAAACATACACATACGTAAATATATCTAAAGAGCAAGAACTCACCTTGTGTATGTACTTGTATGAGCTATGGAGCTTCCTGTAAAAGTTTTCTTTTGGTCTGTCAAATGCTTGATGAAAACTGCCTTTTTGTCAAAATGATCTTGAAAATGCTGTAAAATAAATATTTTCTATTTATTATTTAAAAACAGAATGCCACGATTGTTAATTTTTCTTCCAAAGTAGAAAACAGCCGTGTCCAGTAATTAATTGCTCCAGGGCTTTTCAGCATCATGTGAGAGAGATGGTGGGATGCTGAGATGGAGGTAGGTATGGATTAGATTGTGGCATGTTGGTGACATGGCGGAGGGTTGGAAGATTTTTGTTTAGAAAACCAAAACCAGCCTTTTGTCTTCCTAATAAAAATCAGGGGTACTGTAAGTATGCATTTGGGCTGACATGTTGTAGAAGAGAATTCAGTGGGAAGCAACAGGAAACATGCTCCCCAAGGACATGGGGAAACCAGGCCTTTGCTGGAAGCACTCGCTGTGCTTCACTCTGTGAGATGTCAGCTTCTCCCATCAGGGAAACTCAAATACGCCTTCTCAACAGCTGTAAGCAATAGGCATCGATCCGTCCCAGGATCTAGTGCCTCCTTCGTTTACTGCTTCTGAACGGAGCAAACAGTGGGACTCAATGCCTGCTCTGCAGCTCACGCACTCCTGGTGACTCCCAAACTGCTGTGTGCCTCAGCTCAGCTCAGGGCCCAGTAAGGTGGGAGTGTAAGTGCTTTTTTCTGGAGCGCTGCTGAGGTTTGCAGACCCAAGTGGCACTAAACATAGAAAATCTAGGTCTTTTTCTCTTTACACTTGTGAATAGGCCTGTTTCTAGTGGTTCCTTCGTTTGGATCTGGCCCCGCAAGAGCCCACATGTGAGAAGTCACTCCATCTACACCTATTGCACTGCTGGAGTACACAGAATGACACTACATTCACTGGTAAGTGCCAAAAGTTTAGTCTCTTGCCTTGTAGAGGGTTTTGTTGGGATTTTTTATTTTTTTAATTTTTCAATTTAAATCTAGGCCATCTGTGTCTTAGTCAAGCTTATGCTGTTCAAGTAGACTCAGTGATAAAGACACCCTCAGGGTAACACAGCAGTTACTCCCCTCCAGAGCGCCCAGTGCCACGTTGCTGCCAGCACCGTTCTTGCAGTCAGTTGCTGTTTGTGGGACCCAGACCACAGCACCTGATCCTGCGCCTGCTGCACATCTCAGCACCCTCCCGTGGTGTTTGAGGATACGTTGCACAGTGAGCATGGGAATCAGGAGGATGATAGCATCTGAGAATCATCTAAGAAATACTGTAACAATTTCTATCTGGTCTCTAGCTAGCTACACATATGCTGTGCAAATGAATTCATTTTCAAATTGCCGTGCTTGCATAGGAGGTTAGTACTAATTGTTTTATGCATGACTTTCCAAACAGTCTGACTAGCATAACAAGCCCAGCAAGTCTTTCTTTTTGATGCAGTTTCGGTTTTGTATTGCTGTACTTTTTGATTCCAGCATGGGTGAAGATCATTTCAGTTTAAGTCATTCTAGACCACATAAATATTTCAGTTCTTATTCTTCTTCTTTCTTTTATTTTTTTTTAAATTTCTGCACATAAACATACAGCAATATGAACATTACCAGAAAGAGCAGATTGGGCAAAATCTATATAAACAGACTCCAGTAGATATGAGCAAACAACAGTTGGTGGAAGTGCTAAAGGAAAATATGTAGAAGGCCAGATGCTCCAGCCTGTTAAAGCTGCTTTATTAGTCTCTAGATCTCCAGAGCAGTTCTTAATGTGCTGTAGTCTGACAAAGGAGAAGACTACTCTGTGATATTGTAGAGTCCTTTTAGAGTATTTTGGCTCCAGACCCAAGGGCAGATAATGTGACAGGTGCAAAGGGAAAGGAGTTATATGTCTTCAGCTGCATTTTTCTTAATCTAACATAGAAAAGGTATAACAAAATCCAAGGTTGAGGAGACACAAGTATGAAAGCTTTAAATTAGAAATAAACAAATCTGAATTGTCAAGATAATTGAGTGCTGCAGCAGATGGTTGGGACATTTAAGCAAATTTTCTTCAAGTCTTCAAACCAGTGAAGAACTCACAGGGTAGAATTGTTATGCTTCTGCTATGCAGGGGGTCAGATTAAATGATCATAATATTCACAAGCTGCCAAAAAAAAGCCCATCTAAAATAGCTTTACACTGAATAAATGGATGACTGGT